TTAGGTACCACAATCTTCTTCAACTGATCTAAAAAGGGCAGATATTGACAGAGTTGGGTCTAATGTGCCAGATAATAAAACGGCGTACATTGTGGGGTACGTCGCTGGTATCAAGATTCCTTTTTACCCTTCTTACAAAGAAGGGTATAGATATCACTTGAAAAACCGACTATCGATCCGAGGCCCGGAGGGCCGAGTGTCATATACCATTCGACTCAGCTCGACGAGATCGGAACATGTCTGTGTGTGTGTGTGTGTGTGTGTATGTGTGTATGTGTGTGTGTATGTAACGAAATGAATGCGCTCACGTTTCTCAGCAACCGCCCAACCGATTTGGACAAACTCGGCGCCAAATGATAGGTCTTGGGGTCCCATTGAACGCTATTGAACGGTTTTGGAATCGGTGAACCGGTTCCGGAGATATGGCCGGAATAAGATCCGGTGAATATGGGCCTTCACGCTGGATTTAACGGAAAACGTATCAAAACCATCATGCGACACATCAAATTACTACAGAATTCAAAAATAAGGTCAATGCAAGTCGTGTTAAGTGTTCCAGACCACATTGGACAGACTTGGACATGTTCTAGGTACCCCGGGGAAGTTGCTTGAATATGAAATGAATTAAAACCCATTAAATTACATTAAAATACGATGATAAGGTGATTGGTAGCCTCACCAAATAGATTACACCCGGATATATTCCGGGTACCCCCAGGCAGTGGCGTAGCGTCACTGGATGACACGGGGGTGGGGGGCTTGGTCACTGATAATGACAATAAAATAAATAAACTTGAATAAGTAAGAAGGGTCTGATCACACCATAGGTGGATAAATTCGGGTTTTTTATTGACTCTGGTGCACAGGTCAACACAATTACATATGAATCTTTCTAAGCTATTGCTTGTTGCTACTTTTTCCGCCGAGCTCTTCGTGTCGGAAGAAAGACCTTTGAGAATTGAAAAGTTTTACATAGTGCGTGAATCTCGCACTCTTCTTGGATTCAATACTGCAGTCCGATACAGTTTGCTGGCAGTTGGCCTTGAAGTACCGGTAAAAGGAGGTACAGACCCAGATTGGCGATGTGAATTTTCCATAAACAGCATACAAGAAACCCACCGGTTACCTTGAGCTACGATAGCACTATGCCACCTTCTAGAATTGTCTACACGCACATTCCGGCAGCATTCAAAGAGTTAACGAGACAAAAGTTGGCTGAACTACGAGAATCCGGCATCATTTGAAAGAGTCACAATGGATATGGACAGGTCCTTTTGCTCTTCCTTGTTAGTAATCCCGAAAGGAAAATCGGATATTCGACTCGTCGTCGATCTACGTGGCCCTAACAAATGTATCGACAGAACGCCTTTCAAGATGCCTACATTTGAGTCAATATTGTTGGAGCTACACGGTGCAAAATACTTTTCAACGATTGACTTAACAAATGCATTCTTTCATATCGTACTCGATGAGAAATCAAGGCACCAGGGCGTCACAATATCAGCTTCAATCGACCAAATCGATGCGACGAAGAGACTGCTGGCTTTCTTTTTCTGTTAAAGTCGAACAGCTTCGCAGCATTCTAGAACCTCAGTCGGCGTGCACAAACAAATGTTCAATCGCTTGTCTCTCTTTCTCCCGTCGCTCCATTGGTCTTCCTTTCAAGCTTCGTCGAAATGGATGAGCGAAAGAGCGCTCGACTTTGATAGTTTTCTCTTTCATGAAACACATCAACAGAGGTTTCATGACGTATATGACGGAAAATGAAATAACACATTTAAAGCATTTCTCACGTCAAAACACTTGAAGATTACACGTCATATTTCTAATTTATCTTCCATCCATATATTTATCTAAAAAAATGATCGAAAACGGGACATAACGCATTTTAAACAAATTGAAAGAGCGGCGATAGAGTGTTCGTGAAAGGGGATTGAAAGCCATAATGAAGTTCGTTTAACTAGAAAATCGACGTTATTTACATTGAAAGCGATGAGCAAAGCAACGACGAGAAGTTCCACAGCCAGCCTTTCCTTCCAAGCGTCCTTCTTTTTTATTTTCGTTTCTTGCTGATAGTCTAGCTAGGCGTTATAGAAATGAAGCGTCGAACACGTATGTATGAGAGAAACAAAACACGAGTTCATTTTAGAGCTTCGAAATTGTAGAGCCCTGCAAGGCACCTCACGAACTTCTTTGCTGGCGAGGTACAGATGCTGTCGTTTGCCGTTTGGACTAACCAATGCTCCAGATATATTTCAGGAAGCAATGCAAACTGTCATTCTTTCGGAATTGCTTATAGGTGGCTCGAGTTCCAGGAGAAGCAAACGTGGCGGATGCACTATCCCGTTTACTAAAGGAATCCCAATCCGATGATTCGTTCGACGAAACCACCGATAAACATCTGTTGTATTTTTTGGACACCGGTACAATGGAATTCACCTGGAATGATATCGAGATTGATGCTGAAAAGGACACTGAACAGATTCGGATACGTGAAGCAATAAATACAAGCCACTGGGATAAAACCTTGAGACGATACGAATCAGAAGCCAAGAACCTAAGAGTACTCGGTGCCTTAGTTTTCTTCAATGATCGAGTGATTCTGCCTTATTCACTTCGTGACAGAGCGCTCGCTTCCTCACATCAAGGACATATGGGTGCGGCTTCAATGAAGAAAATACTAAGAAATTATTTCTGGTGGCCAGGAATGGCCAAACAAAGGGAAACATTTGTGGAAGGCTGCGAAACATGCTTTCGGATTTCGAGGAAAAATCCACCAATTCCCTTGACCAGCCGTGAACTTCCCGACGGACCATGGGAAATCCTCCAGGTAGATTTTTTTTCGTTCAAAGGTTGTGGATCCGGAGAATTTCTGGTGGTAGTAGATACCTATTCGAGATATCTACACGTCGTAGAAATGAAAAATACCGATGCAGACAGCACTAATGCAGCATTGAGCAGGATCTTCGAGGTATGGGGATACCCTATTGCAATACACAGTGACAACGGTCCACCTTTCCAAGGTGAAAAATTCGTCAAGACATGGCAGGACAAAGGTGTCAACATTCGGAAATCAATTCCGTTAAGTGCCCAATCAAATGGAGCTGTGGAGCGCCAAAATAAAGGATTAAAGGATGGCTTGACTGCCGCGAAACTGGATAACGTCAATTGGAAACTGGCTTTGGAGCAGTATTTGCATATGCACAATAAAGTTCGACCGCTATCCAGACTTGGTACCCCTCCCTTTGAACTACTTGTCGGCTGGAGGTTCAGAGGGACATTTCCGTTTCTGTGGGAGTCGCTATCTTCGGATCACGTCGATCGAACGGATATACGCGAGAAGGATGCTTCATCCAAGCTTAGAGCAAGAAATATGCCGATTCAGTTCGAGGAGGCAAGGCAACCCGGCAGCACCAGCAAATCAGCCAAGCAACCAACCGACCCAACGACGAGCAAGCGAGCCCTCTCCTTCTTCTGGAAGTGAGAGGTCTCAGGCGAGCCCTCTGTCAACGGTAACCAAGGGAACTACCCGATGTGCGGTAAAAGAGGTGAGGAGAAAGGAAACTAGTGGACTCTTTCATTCTGACGGTGTTCTTATGCAACAGCAGACGTGACGTCACGTCTGTTGCTGCATAAGAAGACGCGAGTACGAAAGAGTCCACTAGTTTCCTTTCTCCTCACCTCTTATACCGCACATCGGCAACCACCGAGTACCGATCACCAAATACCAGCAGCCTACTACGATCGAAAACTTGGCACGGAAAGCCCTCTTATTTTGAATAAGTAGCGCAATCCAGCCAAATCTCGAATAGGATGATGCCCAGTTACAACAGGTACAATCGCGTCATCTGCCGCTCAAAGGTAAATTTTTTTTTTTTTTTCCTTTGGTTTGTTTTTTCCGTCGATCTTGTTTTCCGTGCTGAGCACCAATGCTACCGACGTGCCAGGAACAGAGCTGGTAAATATCACGGCCGTCATGTGACGATGAGAAAACAGGTCCTCTCACTATCACGAGACGAAGCTACCTATCATTAGCTTTCTTATCATTTTCCATTGATCAAACACTCATGAGAATAATTCTTATGCGGTTTTGACATCAGCAATTCTAACTGATTTTGATGAATTTAAGCAAACAACCGCAGGTAATCGGTAAAGTGAATATATTTTTAAGATTTCCTCGGTACAAGTAACTTTAATAGCATTAAATGAGCTAGTAATTACGATGATCACAACACTGTCACGTTCTGTCATGACAAAAAAATCGATGAGATTTTGAAAAAAATCTCTATCATCGTTTTCTCATCCAATGATAGTGACAGAAGTATCTCTGTAAATATCGCGTGAGATCTTTCATTGAAAATAACATATGCCAGGCCAGGAAGGCAGCTTCCACACCTGGACCCTACCTATCGACCCATCAACTCATGAACCGGGGACCAACGGCTTTACTTCCCATCCGAAGGAAGGTGTGATCAGAGATGTTATGCCTCAGAACATCCCGGCAGCGCCGACTGGGATTGAACCCAGGCCTGCTGGGGTGAGAGGTAATCACGCTTACCACTACACCACCGGCGCCGTTCAAAGGTAAATGCTTCGAACGAATTTGATAGCATTTCTCGATTACTTTTTCGAAGGGACGTATCAGCTTTTGTAAACAATGAATTTTATCGTCAATTTGGCGTAACTGGTAGCTCGCACACGTATACTAATACCACTATCAGGTAGGGGAAAACTTCTCTTGTCTGATGGTAGTGTTAGTATGCATGAGCGAGCTGCCAGTTACGCCAAATCAACGATAAAATGCACTGTTTACCAAAGCTGATACGTCCCTTTGAAAAAGTAATCGAGATTTGTTGTCTTCGATTAAACGGTCGTGAAAACAAACGCAAATAATTTAGCGAATCCTCCCACCATTATAACAGTTACTATCGATGTGGTATAAACGTGTTGTTGTTTACATTCTCGTCGTTCAGACCGTTCAGAAGACTGTCGGCTTCCTCTACAGGTTCTACACGATAGTGTTCGCTTCGCTTGTAAAATGTTCATCAGCGAAATCTAGATAAATTGGTTAACTATTGATATTATTCATTAACTATTGCAATCATTTTAATGACTAGTAAAGCTAAATCTGTAAAGAGTGCAAAGCCTCTGAAAACAGTGCGTAATGTACTGGTTCAACCATTTAAAACCCAGTGGTAAGTAAAACGTGGAAGAAAGTGTTTACCAACATCAGGGGTAAGATTGCGCCATTTAAAACCAACAGGGAAAGCTGAATTCAAAATTACAGTCACCCAGTATTATTCACCAGCTAGTCGCTATTGTAGGTCAGCCAGTTCTGCGTGTTAATTAAATGGAAGTGGGCCATAATTGTGGGTTTGTGTATATTGATCGACATTGTTCTCATATTGGTTCAATATAGACACTACTTAATCAATCCTGCTGAATGTGGGCGTCTTAGTAGAATACCTGTATAAAGAGAGAGAGAGAGAGAAGGGTTAGTAATTTCCATTTAATTCCACTACCTTATTTGCTTATCCTTGACAGATACGCGTATTTAGTCTACAATGTGCAGACTTCTTCAGTGTCTTGTACTAATAGTACAAGACACTCAAGAAGTCTGCACATTGTAAATGAATTACGCGTATCTGTCAAGGATTAGCAAATAAGCTAGTTGAATTAAATGGAAATTACTAATCCTTCTCTCTCTCTCTCTCTCTCTCTCTCTCTCTATCTTTATACTACTTATTCATTTTTTTTATCTAGGCCATGTGTTCAACTATCTGAAGCAGGAAACCTGGTTAACTTACTAAAGCAAATACCCAAGTATGTATAACTTTACATACTCACACTCCTTGTTTACATTAACTATTTCTGTTCTATTTAAAGGGATCAAGTAGTGCATGGCACGAGTCCTGTGAATCACCTGTTGAGCAAAGGCCTAGCATGTGCATTTTTAATCTCGTCTGATTTCCATCCGCAAATCCTTGGTAAGCAGATCATCCAGATGGCGCGACGAAATTCTCCAGGTATACAACTGCTTGCACTAGAATGCCTTTCTTGGAACGGAAAGCTAGAAAAGCTGGTAGCTATTCGGAAAACATCAAATCAGTATCCTGAAAAAGTGATTGAATTGTTGAACCTGATGATGAAAATCGGCGAATCAAAAGGATATGACACAGAATCATCGAAATTTTCTTCTGGTGGAAACAGAAAACTGATGGCACAGCAGACAAAAGTTGAAAATATGTCTCAAGAAGAGATAGAGCGCCTCTATCTACCCCGATCGACCAATGGCAAGCGTGCGTTCGTTCCACAGGTTTCCATCTTTGCTGGTAAACAAACAGTGGAAGCGAAAAAGGACGATTGGGGACAATTTGTCTCTTTCAAGCGATCAGGAGCAGACCAGATAGAAATCAATTTGAAGGGTAAATCCAAGAGGAAGGAAAAATCTTCAGCTTCCACAAAAGCTAATATCAATGCATCGGAAGGTTATGTTCCACTGACAGTGAATCGTTTACAAGGGAACCCTAACAGGAAGTCAGAAAAAAGTAACATTATCAAGTAAGAACAAACAATTTTCAAGAAAATAAATATCAAACTTCTCACTATACCTATTACTGATCCTTTTCGAATGACTCCTTTTTAACTAATACATCCCAACTGAAACTTTACGCGTATAAGCATATTAAGGCTTAATTGTTTCAAAGGAATGTATCAGCTTTTGTAAACAATGCATTTGATCGTCGATTTGGCGTAACTGGTAGCTCGCCCACGCATGCTAACACTGCCATCAGATAGGGAAAATTTTCCCCTACCTGGTAGTGGTGTTAGTATGCGTGGGCTAAAGTATTGCTACACTCATAAAATAAATCACATAACCAGTGGAAAATATCCATGTGAATTTCACATAGCTTTCATGTGATCCCATAATTGGAAATTGCACCACTAAATCACATGAACGTTATGTGTCCAATGAAATCTATATGATTTCTCACATTGAATTTCTAATGCTATGTGATATTCAGGTAAAAATCATTGTTTTTGGAAAAACACTATGTGCGTTTCTAATAGAAAATACGTGAAAACTTTTTTCAGTATATGACAAACCAAAGATCAAATGCATTGTTTACAAAAACTAATACGTCCCTTCGAAAAAGTAATCGAGAATAATTATTGCCTTAAGGCACTTAAAGTGAAAGTGACCTAGTGAGTAAATAAAAATGTCAAAATGGTTTTCTCTGAGACATCAATGATGTTTTCCTATTATTATTTCGCATAACACACCGAGAGTTTTTTTTTCAATCAGAAATGATGTCTCAGAGAAAAACATTTTTGAAATTTTTATTTGCTCACTAGGTTAATTTCACCTTAAATGATTCTTGTTAGTTTGTCAATCATATTGGGGAGAGTGGGGCCTTAACGAAACTCGAATAAAATTTCACTCTTTTGAACAGAAAATTTTATTGTCTGTGTACAGGATATTCTTAGGTTGATCTATAATTCTATGCTTGAAGTACAATTATACAAACTTTAAACATAAAAAATTCAAAATTTTCTGACAAACAGTGGAGTCGCGTCCGCATGTGAAATCTGTGGATAGCACAACTACATATAAAATAAAATGATGCATTTTGTATTTTTTTAAATATATTTTCAGGTCCCATTTTAAATACCTATTGGCAAATAAAATTTGGCTCCCGTGGAGAATAGAAGAACTATGAAAGTGATAAAATCGAACTCGCATACCTCACCGCCGTGTAAAATTTTGAAACCATCATCACTTTTATAGTAGTTCTTCTATTCTCCCTGAGTGCCAACTTTGATTTGCCAATTGGGAAAGTAGTTCAAGATATATCTATACACTGATAAAAATAGTATGGTATCACGTACCATTGAAATGTGTTTAATTATACCATGACAGCTCATAGTAAAATCAACCGATGTTTATTTCAATTCTATTATGTTTTTAACTTATTTACTATGCTCCCCATAGAATTTCATGTAGTATTATTAATAACATTCATGGTTAAAAAATACTTCAAATTTATCATGTTACCTTGAGAATATGGTAACATCAACAGAAATGCTGTTTGGTTGGAAAACAAAACCATTACTATTTCACTGCTCTGCTAACCGTGGTAATCACAGATTATTGCATGATCGCCATTTTTAAAAAAAACTCATTCGACAAGTGCGTATCAGCGGGTATTTTTCAGGTTGCAGATAAAAGTGGCAGCTAAAGTTGAACTATTGGATCATTCCTGGAATCATTGTTGTTGTGGAGGTAAAACTCATTAAAGGTAAACAATTTTAATTTAATGAAGGTTTATTTATGTGGAAGCAGACGAAATACCGGAACAGCAGAATTTTCTCGATCAGGAGCTTGATTCATCTGTTTATGTCAATTGGTAATCAGTAACTATTATTAAATATATAATTTTTAACATTAGATTTTTGACAGGCTTTGAACCATATGGAATAACGGACACAAACATGCACTTTGATAAAAGCGTCGTGATCTGACCGGCACCGCCTTCCTGCAATCCTGCTAAATCTCTGGATCAAATCACAACCATTGCTCAACCAGGACCATTTAGTGTGTGTATGTTGTGCAGAGTATTTCAAAATAAATAAATTATGAATTTTTTTATTTGATTGGAATCTACAAAGAGGTCGAAAGTCTCAAATCAATGCAATTTTATTTTTACAGTAGAAATTACTACATAAATATGGTTAACAATACTGTTCTCAATGGTAGTAGAATTAACTGAAATTTCGTTTACTACAACAATAATTTACGTTGTAGTTGATGCAATCATTTTTGTTTTTGTTTATACTAGAAGAATGGTTCACCGTACTACGCCAACGTTTTTGACGCAGCATGGTAACATCAACAACAGTTGTATTCATTTCAAATACAATATTCGTTCTACCGAAATTTAGTGGTATTTTGTTTTCATTTTTAACCTACGAAATAGTAGTGGTTACCATGGGACTGTTTTCAGTGTAGGCTATACTGCCTGTAACCGCATATCAGTCTCATATGACGTTTCGTCGTTTTTGAGCTAGATGTAGCATTGGTCTTATTTTTTATCGTATTTTAAAAGGTAATTATAAAATTTAGTTTTTTTTTTCTAGAAAAACTCTAAAAAATATCAGGTCGATTTGTCCCATCTTGAAAGTAACCGTATATGAGTCCAATTATTGCAATAGGGCAAGGAGGGGCATAGTGAGCTTCCTGTTCTTTAGCCTTGGATTTCGTATGATTCGAAACAAATTTATTGGTCATTAATCATTGCAATTGTGATATTGAACCTAGTAGGTACTAGTTGAATAATAATGTCAAATGTCTATTATGGTTAAATATGTTTAATTTTCGTGGACTTGGTTTGTGTCTCATCTCGTTTGACAGAACTGATCGCCCGTTGGACAGATCGAATCGTTCATTTGACAAGTCGAATTGCAGACAAACGAAATGCTCCAGTGTCCAGTGTCCAGATTGTGATGAAATAAACAATCGGTGTATCCCTCAACCAATTTTCAGCTTGACAGCTCAGCCCAACTAACCGAAGTCTTTCACTAAGTGGACTACAAGTTCAGCCCAACGAGCGAAAGTTAACTCTAAAAGTGTACTGGCTGTTGGGTACTTTTTTCTTACCGTGTACGCAGTATCAATGTTATCAAATGGTTAGACCTAGTTGTTTCCTGTATTGGCCGCCAGGCGCGCTTCGTTTTGTTTACAATTGACCACTTTGACAAGCAGTTTTGGCGTGACTTTCTACCAGCGATTTCATAAAACTAATTTTTATTTTTTTTTATGAAACGCACAAATGTTGGCTACTTTTCTTGTGGTTCTAGAAGAAAAAAATCTCAAAATAATGTTTTATTTCAAAGTTCGAGTGGTAGTAAACGTCATTTTAACTGCTCGAATGAAGTGGTTAATTTCCTTCGTGCGCAGCAGATTTGAATCGATGTTCTCTCGTCGCTTTAGCAGTTAGCACAGAACAACCTAAAAAATAAACATGATTTTCTGTTTACTTTCACAACTTTCTTAACTTAGGGCATAGAGAAAAAGATGAATTCTCATGTGATTTTAGTGATGGATTTTGATCCAAGTTTGAAATTGACCACTTCCCTGGAGGTTTCCAGAAAATGACAGGATGTGGGCGACGTGATCATGGCTATTCCTATTGACTGCCATTAAACAGGTTGTTGAATTTCAATGTGATACCTTTATCACATTACGGTTTTTTATGACACTAAGCCCTGCGGGATTCCCAAGCGTACAAATGGTACCATGAGAAAATATCTGAAAGACGTGATTTGAATTATTGGACAGTTAGTTTTGCTGAATTGTTGAACCGGGTTACCCAACAAACAATTTTGGCTGCAGTTTAGCTTATAGAGCCAAAATTTGCCTTATGCAGCGTTTTTTTGCCTGTATAAGCTAAGCTGCAGCTAAAATTGTTTGTTGGGTAATTACTGTAAACATTGACTTTGGTGCCCTCGCCACATATGTTTGGCCCTGGGCCCCAGTTAACATTAACAAGGCCCTGTTTTCCAGGTACTATTCTGGATGTGGCCAAAATCTGACATGAGCCAAAATCTATCATGCGACAAATCAACCCACATTGACTACACCTGGTCATGTGCCGGCCCAGAAAGTGACCAAAATCCGACAACTCAAATCCCAATAGTTATATTGTTTTTTCTCTTGATTTGTCGATTTCCCGTCGATCTTGTTTTCCGTGCTAAGCACCAATGCTACCGACGCCAGGGAGGCAGCTCCCACACCTGTACCTTACCTATCGACTCATCAACTCATGAACCGGGGACCAACGGCTTTCCTTCCCTTCCGAATGAAGGCGTGATCAGAGATGTTGTGTCTCAGAACATTCCGGCGGCGCCGACTGGGATTGAACTCAGGCCTGCTGGGGTGAGATGTAATCACGCTTACCACTACACCACCGGTGAGGCTATATTGTTAAATGATAATGTTATATTACAAGTCCAGGAAATTTTATCTGCTTGGAAACTAAACAAGGAAAGCACGTCTTCATCAACAACGAATCCAGTGCTGAAAACTCGATATATTCGCTACTACACCGAACGCCAAATTCAATTTATGGATTTACCACCGACAAACCGACATGACACTTAAGTTTGACTTATGCCCGAAAATCGTGAACGGCCGATTTAAATGTTCAGTGATCCGAACTGTCAACACCGTAGGATTTTTTTTAGCTAGATAAAAATAATTTGTCCAGAATAGATCAGACACGAACTAATTCATAACTTTTGCATGCAGATTTATGGCTTAGCTAAATATTTCCCGCGAACACGGAGCCAGATGTCAGTAGTGTGCTTTGGTCAGAAATTTTATTGTTTTCGCTATGGTTATTCATGTCGGTTTGTCGGTGGATTTACCTCAACATTCTTCAGGGAGTCTGACCACTTGCTCAAAGGTACCTGCCACATGTATGAACAACGAAGTTTTGGATACTCATTATGACTTCCATCAATCTTGTATTTCAATTCTCATGTATCATACCATCCGTATCTCCCGAACCAGTTGAGTGATTCATAAAATCTGGTCTATAGTAAAAATACCATTAATTTTGTGGTTTTGTATAATTATGTGCAGTGTTTGCCAAGAAAAACGTCTTCTAAAATTTAAAAGTACAAAACACATATTTACATTGCCAGCGTATCAATAATTTTAACGGCGGCATATCAAAAATCATCACGGCGGTGCGGCGTCTCAAAAACTTTGGCGACGGTTGCGTGTAAAAAAGTGTCAGCGGCGGCGGCGTGGTGCAGTGGCGCACAGGTCTAGATGAGACCATCCCACGTAGAGGCGTAATTATCGTCTTCAATATCTATAGACTCGAGAGGGCTTCTTTGCCTCCCCTTCGAGCAACTGCAAGAGGTATTGCAGTATGGCGACCGTTGGTAAATCCGCATTGGAGTGGATCATGGACAAGAAAGCGTCTCGGAATGACAACCAACGTGAGAATTCGCCATTGAAACGTGGCAGATCGATCTGTGGTAAACAGAGGTGGAAGGTGATTGGCGGGACGACAATGGATGTATTCAGCTGTTGACTAGTATCGGCGGGACGCCGGAAATCTTTCCCGGTGCAAAAACGATGCTCGAATTCCACTCTTTTCGCCAGATGAGCATCCAGTTCGTCAGAATCTAGTCTTTCAATGGTGTCTTGCTCGGTCCCACGAATCAAGCCGTACTTGCACTTGACAGGAGTCTCGTTCTGCTTCGAAGCTTTTGACGAACTTATCCACTGAATTTCAGGATTACCAAAAACGATTTTTTGCTAGATTAGACGATCAGTCAGAAGATGTTGACTCTCTCGAAGGCATTTTAACGGAAATCGAACGGAAAGGTAAGCTATAATTCGAAAACAAATCTCCTTCCTGACGCGAGCTATACGTTTCTTCGTGAAACCGAACCGGCGGGGCAAAACAAATCGATCGAATCAAATCCTTCCCGTCGCGGTGTACTGGCTTTCACGACGAAATAAGCGAACGGAAATGGGACGTTTTTAAATGAAAACGATAATCCTTCCCGTCGCGAACAATCCCACTTCTACGCGGTCTCGTACGCGCTATCGCAATCAAGGACGCGAAACGATTTTCCACTTGAATTACGTACCGTCTTCCACCAAAATGCCTGATGTCTTTTCGATTTCCAGCTCCCGTGATTGCTCCTCGAATGGTCTCCGGATCTACTACCAAAACGTGCGTGGGCTGAGGACTTAAATCGAATTGTTTTTCCTGGCTGTTGCGGAGGCCGAATATGATTTGATTGTGCTGACGGAAACGTGGCTGGACGACCGAATTTACTCATCGCAACTTTTCGGGTCACTCTATTCCGTCTTCAGAACTGAGCGGTCTTCCCTATACAGTCAAAAATCGCGCAGTGGCGGATTCCTGATTGCAGTATCAACGGGACTAGCCAGCTACGTAAGTACGTAACCCATTTCCAGTCAACTGGAACAGCTGTGGATTGTCGTAGAACTTCCACAAAGCAAGCTTAGTGTAGGCGCAATCTACCTGCCCCCCGACCGCAAAAACAACTTCACGATCATCCGTGAGCATGTGGAATCGTTAGGCTCGATTTCTTCTCAATTAAGTCCCTGCTCTCCCGCTTTCGTATTTGGCGACTACAATCAAGCTGGTTTGCAGTGGCGCTTTACAGACAGTGGCACACTTTTAATTGATCCACTGCGTT